TGTAATTGTTTTTTCCATCTCTTTGAAATCTGTTGTTGGAATCTGGATTGGGATTCCATTATGTGTGTAAATTGCTTTGCTTTGGACAGAATTGATATTTTCACAATGTTAAGTCTTCCTATCCAGGAGCATGGTACATTCTTCCATTTTTGTAGGTCTCTTTTGGTTTCTTGTAGTAGTGTTTTATAGTTTTCTTTGAATAAGTCATTTGTTTCTCTGGTTACATTTATTCCTAGATATTTAAGGAGCTCTGGTAGCATAGTGGTTACGAATCAGGCTGCAAGCCGCAAGGTCAGCAGTTCGAAACTACCAGCGGTTCCGTGGGAGAAAGATGAGGCGGTCTGCTCCCGTAAAGATTTACAGCCTCGGAAACCCTGTGTAGGGTCGCTATGAGTCGGAACTGACTCCACGGCACACAACAACAACAACAATTTCATCCTTTGAGTGGCCGTTGTAAATGGTATTGCCTTCCTAATGTCCATTTCAACACTGTTGCTTTTGGTATAGAGGAATCCACTTGATTTTTTTATGTTGATCTTATGTCCTGCAGCTTTGCTGAATCTTCCAATGAAGTCTAGTAGCTTTTTTACTGAGTCTTTGGGGTTTTCTGCATATAGGATCATGTCTGCAAATAGAGAGAGTTTTACTTCCTCTTTGCCATTTTGGATGCCTTTAATTCCCCTGTCTTGCTGTATAGCTCTTGCAAAGACTTCCAGCACAATATTGAATGGCAGTGGTGACAAAGGGCATCCATGTCTGGTTCCTGTTGGCAGAGGGAATGCTTTCAATTTCTCTCCATTGAGAGTAATGTTGGCTGTTGGTTTTTTATATATGCTCTTTATTATGTTGAGGAATTTCCGTTCAATTCTTATTTTGTTGAGTGTTTTTTCAGGAATGGATGTTGGATTTTGTCAAATGCCTTTTCTGCATCAATCGATATGATCATGTAGTTCTTTTCTTTTTTCTTATTTATATGGTGGATAACATTGATTATTTTTCTAATGTTGAACCATCCTTGCATCCCTGATATGAATCCCACTTGATCATGATGTATTAACTTTTTGATGTATTGCTGGATTCTGTTTGCTAGGGTTTTGTTGAGAATTTTTGCATCAATGATCATGAGCAATATTGGTATATAATTTTCTTTCTTAGTGTCGCCCTTTGCTGGTTTTGGTATAAGGGTTATGCTTGTTTCATAAAATGCATTAGGAAATTTTCCATCCTCTTCTCTCTTCTGGAATAATTTGATTTCCTAACCCTATGTAACTTTGTCCTTGGGTAAAGTCTGCCCTTTTAATCTCAAATTGTTGATTATTCTAAAGTAAGTGTGCCTCCCAAAATTTATTGTTTTCCCTACTCAGTATGAGACAAAATCTATTCAGTCGTCATGGGAATACCCATCTCATGGTCTTTAGGGCATTCTAATAGTTTGTATTCAACTAGTAACCTAAAGGTTGGTGATTCAAGTTCAACCAGCTGGGCTACAGAAAAAAGGCTTGGCATTCTGTGCATGCAAAGACAGCAGTGTTACATTATAACCCAGGACGTTGTCATGAGTCACAATTGACTCCACTGCAATGAGTTGGTTTAGCATCCATTTCACATGAATGGACTGAATGACATATTTATAGCACATTGTCTAATACACATTTTCTTTGGATAATAAAGTAAAAGCAAAACTACATAATAATAATTATGTCATGTCTTATCATCGTGACTTTGTACATATTCCACCTTTACTGGGACAGCATGTGCGTCTCTTTGTTTCCTATTTTAAATCATTCAATAAAGTTACATCATGTAGATTAGATCTCTATAGAGCTGTATGAATCATGTATGTTACTTTGACTTAGATTTTACCTTAACTTTTCTCACAGGGGATTATGTAGTGTCTTGAATAATTAGCAGGAAATCAAGACAATTTCTTAAACTCTCTGAAGATTTTGATACAATTAATGAGTCACACACTTGCTCCTCAGGGAATATAAGCGAGGAAGAGGGCACCCATAAATTCTTCCTTTGAGAGAGAAAGGAGCTATAAATTAGGAGACGATTTTCACTTCTTCATGAAAACTGACGAGGTAAGCATTGCTCTTTGTTTTTTATTATTATCACTGGATCTTGGTTATTTCCGATGACCTCTGGATTTTGACTGTAGACACTCTTATGGTCACTCACAGCTAAGATCTTTAAGTTAACCACAAACATAATCTCCTTTGTGAACTGAAGTTCACTTGGTCTGTAGTTGTTTTCAAGATTCCAATTTTATTAATCAAACATGTTTCTGATTTCTATCTAACTTGTATGAGCTACTACTGATATGTGGATGCTGCAAGTGAGGAGAGGTTTGTTACATCTGAAAAATTCATTTCACATAGAAGACACCAAGTCACATTTGAATTTCAGACAAAAATGATTTTTAATGTAATTATTTCTTGTGCAATAATTGGAGCTCTGGTGTGGTGCTTTGTTTTAATGCCCTGGAATGTAAACTTGGTTTGAACCACAAAGTCAGGGGTTCAAGCCCACCAGCCACTCCTCAGTAGCCCTATACAGGGTCATATGAGTCAGAATCAACTCGACAGCACTTAACAACAGAAAATACAATATTTAACTATTAACAAATGTTACTTTCTTACAAATGTTTACTTAACTGTATACTCTAAGTATGAATTGTGCAATCTGTGATGAACTAGAAACTATTTTATGATTAGCATTTCCAATGTAAAAACACAGTTGTTTGCAGTTGTTTTCATCTTTTGTGTGTGTGATTACTATTCTTCTTTGGTTAATTCTTGGTCTCCTTAGTAAATTGCTTACAAATGGGTCTACTTTTTCACAAGGATCATTGCAAACTGATTGAGTAGGCTGACAAATACATTATGTGCTTTTAAGTTACAGAATTATGGAGAATTCCCTGAACCCAAAATAAATTCTACCTGATATCACCATATCTGCATATGTTTGTCTCCTGTCTGCTTGAATGGTTACCAGCAAATGGAGGTATTTCAAATGTATTCATTAAGAGAGTCAGCTAAGTTATAGATATTCTCTTTCAGAGAAGATGAGTAGGAAAAATAAAATAATGCTGACACTTTCAGAAAGAGTTGTAACTAGCAATAAAATAAGACATGGACTCAATACACATTAGGATATTCCTTAGAAAAACAACGAGGACTTCAAAGTTCTGATTTTCTTTGCTCACTGCAGTACATCACCTATTCCAGCGTAAAAATCCCATGATTTCAAGTTCAGTGATGTTCAAATTGCAGATAAAAATTTCAAATGAGATGACTCACCAATCTCTATTAATGACCTGCACTCAATCTCTTGGATCAGATTGGAAAAATCAATAATGCCAAATTAGCAGATCACTAAAATGTTGCCAGTCTCTTGAATATTTTTACCAGCCAGATAATAAAAAAATCATCCTAATAGACATGTTGCAAATGGATCTGGACTGCAGATGATTCAGTTTGTTGGTGGGAACTTTGATGGGGACCCAGATATTTCTTCTGACCTGAAAATAAAATGCAGGCCAAACCTGGCCAGTGCATTGAATTCTGAAATGCCTCTCCAATAATTTGTGTTCTTGAATGTATTTCCTGCTACTACAATTAAAACATCTTTCTTTAGATCCCTAGCTTCATTTGAGAGGACACTGAATCTAAGAGGAGTTTAAGCCACTCCACAAGAAAAAGATGAGACAGTCTGCTTCCTCATAGATATATAGTCTCAGAAATGCTATGGGGCAGTTACACTCTGTGCTATAGTGTTGCTATGAGTTGGACTCAATAGCAGTAGCCTTTGGTTTAAGGGTTGGTTCAGTCATTTCAAAACGAGGCTTTGAAATGGTTCTTCCTAGGTCATTTATGGCTGAGGCATCTCAAATGTGGCTGTGCCCCACTAAACACTGGCTGGTCCCAGCATTTTGAATATGTGTGGTTCTCTGAAATCCTGGCAATAATCTGCTCTTATGCATCAGACTCCTGAGGGGTACACTCCAACTCTTCCTAGTCTAACATTCTAGGTCTTCAACTCATGATTTTTCCCATTCAAGTTACTATCATGAGTCATTCAATGATTAAAATTAAAGTCTGGGACTGTTTCCCTTTGTTGGCCAAGATAGAAGCAGTTCAATATCCTGCTTAAAGGTCAAGTTATTTCCAAATAACAAGTTATTTGTTACCTGGGGACAGCCTGTATCTTATTATTGGCATTTCTCATTCATGGTAACAGGGACAATCCACTATCTAAACATTGTGTGTATTAAAGGCATACATCTGGTATTAATGAATGCCAAAGTGCTAAATGAGAGTACTCCTGGCTGTGGAGGTTAAGGTAATATGACAAGTTGGCTGAGCCATGATTCCCAGTGATTGGCAGTTATATAGTGGTCTAATGTAGAAGTTAAATAATGATGTAACCTGGCAGGTATATAAGGATGCACTCATTCTCCATTTTGTGATATGATGTGGGCATCCTCCATTTCCTATTTTTGCACAATAGCTTGTTCTTTGGCTATGTCGATAAGTGAGGAATATGTGTATATTGTTTTATTATAAACATATATGCTTCAAATTTTGCAAGTTTCATATGCATGCTGTAATTTTGGCAAGTGGCATCTTCTACAGTCTATTTTGGCTTAAAATAAATGGTGGGGATTATTTTTCTGTCCTCTAGTATGAAGAAAAATGGAGTTCTGGTAGCATAATGGTTATGAGTCGTACTACATGTGGTTACAAGGTCAGCAGTTCGAAACTACCAGTTGTTCCACAGAAGAAAGATGAGGCTTTCTGCTCCCATAAAGATTACAGCCTCAGAAACCCCATGCAGGGTCGCTATGAGTCAGGAGCGACTCTGCGACACAACACCACCACCACCAGTATGAAGAAAATCTCCATTCAGTCTACAATTAGTATAATTTGTTTAGATAACACCATACACAAGCTAATATTAATCCCTCTGTTTCTTCCTAGAAGAGATTGCTAGACTAAATGGGCCAAGAGAATCTAACAGTGCTGTCTGAGTTCATTTTAATGAGAGTCACAAAGCGACCTGAGCTGCAACTCCCTCTGTTTGGCATCTTTCTCATCATTTACATGATCACACTCATGGGCAATCTGGGCATGATCATCTTGACCAAAGTGGACTCTCACCTCCACACACCCATGTACTTTTTTATTAGAAACTTGGCTTTGATTGATCTTGGTAATGCTACTGTTATATATCCTAATATGCTAGTAAATTTAGTTACAAATCGGTATACCATTTCCTACTATGCCTGTGCCATACAGATGGCTTTCTTTCTTTTGTACATTATATGTGTACTCTACATTCTGGCAGCCATGGCTTATGACCGCTTTGTGGCCATCTGTAACCCTTTGCTCTACAATGTTATCATGTCTGAGAGACTTTGCCACATACTGGTGGGCATTCCATATCTCTTCAGTTCCTTTCAGTCTCTTTTGATTACCAGTAAGGTTTTCACATCAACCTTCTGTGGTACTAATGTTGTTAGTCATTTCTATTGTGATGATGTTCCCTTTATACCTCTGCTCTGCTCAAATGCAAAAGAAATAGAATTGTTGATCATAGTATTTTCAGGATTTAATGTGATTTCTACCCTTGTGGTAGTTCTGCTTACCTACATGTTGATTCTGACAGCCATATTTCGAATGCATTCTGCAGAGGGTAGGAAGAAAGCTTTCTCCACATGTGGTTCTCATCTGACAGTGGTGGTTGTGTTCTATGGATCTGTACTATTTATGTACCTGCAGCCTGAATCTGCTCATTCTTCTGATAATGAAAAAATAGCCTCTGTGTTTTATACTTTATTCATTCCCATGCTCAATCCATTCATATACAGCTTAAGGAACAAAGAAGTAAAAAATGCTGTCCAGAGGGTTGTTAAGAATCGTTGTAAACGCTGTATTTGATACTCAATATACAATATTGTTCCAATAAACTGTGAAAAATGCAAACATCACTATTTTAGTAGATACAATTACATTCTCTTGGGTTCCAGAGTAAAGAACAATTATAAGCATTGATAAATATATTTACCCTTATATTTATTAAAATTATGAATGATACTTTTATGATTTTAAGTTAAATATAATTTCTTTCTCAAGTTTGTTATTGGTGATACCTAATAGAGAACATGATGGTAAAAAACAAAAACAAACCAAAACAAACACACATACACACACAAAACAAAACAAAACAAAACAAAACAAAAACTACTGTAATAACCAGAAGGAAATGTTTATAAATTTCCTAATTTATCTTTTCAAAGAACTTGGATATGTTTACATTAGTAAATAATGAAGAATATCTTGTCAAATAAGTCTAGAATGCATTTATTTTTGCTGAACACTATCACATAAAAAATATTCTGTGGAAAATGATACCATTCATTAGCAGAGAATGTTTAAACAAATGGTGACCTAGATTTTTCTGAATTGATATACATTCTATTGAAGCAAAATACACTTTAAAAAAAAAATGTTTTATTGTGAATTACGTGAGTAGTTTACATGGGAGAACATTAGTTTTGCATTCATCCTATTCTATATTGTTTCATTGCCATGGTCACAATCCCCTCCATGCATCATCAACCAACCAAAAGGTATACCCTGCAAGTCTGTCCCCTGGTCGTCAGCACACAGCCCCTCTCCCTTTTTGGGTCTAAAGTCCCCAGATGCTCCATCTCTCCACGTCATCGTCTCTGCCTCCATCTCTGGTGTCACTGCTTCTCTGGGTAGGGTACTGCTCTCTGCTCTTCTCCCTTGATGGTTTCAGGGACCTTCACTCCTAGACTGCAAAGTTAATCACTCACCTCCTTGCTACAAAATGTCTACCTTTACATTTCCAACCCTCACAATCAGTCCTGATAACAATTATTCACTATTGCTTCACAAGAGACCTATCTGCATTTCCTTTCATCAGCCCCGCCTAGACAGATTGTATACTACTCAGTGGAGATTCTACTTTCGTCCATGCTTTCTGGATCTAGGTTCCCTCTTGAAAGCTTGTAAGCCAGTCACTTCTTGCCTTTGTAGCCACCCCATTTTGGGTAGCCAATATCCAAGTTGCCCATCCCTGTCTACTCTGTGTACGGAGCGGGTGGGAATAATCCTTGCTGTAAAAACTTTTTCCCTCTTTTAAGCTACTGCATCCATATGTGTAGGTCAAGTTCATCAAATTGTATCACTCTTTTTTTCCTCTTATTTCTTCTTGTAGTTGAGCTCTGATTATCCAGTCATTGAAGCCAGGTCAAGTGGGCATTATCTGCAAGTGTGGGTGTTCATATACATATGCCCTCTCTTCTTATCAGCTGGATGCTTCACTCTCTACTCCAGGCCTCTGTGGCTATGTCACTAACTCTGGGTCAAAGAGTCCCCAGGTCTTGCCACACTGCTGGCCAACCCAGTCTCCACCCAGGTTCACAGGAATCTATTGACCATTGTAGGGCTTAGCTCACAGCTTCATTGCTGTTTTTTCCCTCACTTCCCCTTAGCGGGTCACCAATCAGAGTGTGAATTCCTATTGAGTCTTAGTCTTCAAAGGGGGTTTGCTCTGAGGGGACCCAACCACTTGCCTTGATGTCTCCTGGACAAGCAACTTGCTTGTTCTTGTAGCAATCATCCATTCTGCCTATATTGTTTTGTATTTTTCCTGTCAGTCTTTCTTTCAAGAAATATCTTCTGTTCTTCTAGCTGCTCCAGGCTGGTCTACCCATCCTTTCAAGTGGAAATTTCCCACCTCTGAAGATTCTGGATGTGTCAGGATTCCACCTATAGTCTTATGTAATGCAGAGGCTCTGCAGGAAGCCTCCTTCACTGGGCATATTGTAACCCCATTTTAGGTATTCCTATCAGTTATAGACAAAAGATGAACTTACCAGCTTTCTATAGTGGTATTTCTGACTATTTCTTTGTCTCCCCCTCCAGTGTTTATTGTATAATGGTATTCAATGGAAACCCAGATTCAAAAGATAGCCAAGTATCTTAACATTATTTCCCCATTTCCCCCATTCCAACCATGTCTCAATCCATGTATCCCAGGGACCTGTTGTTCCAAAGTTGTGCGTACATCATTCTTTACCTCTGTCCCACTTAACCCACACAAACCTGTCTAATTGTTCTCGCATCTGCTTTGGTCTTCCATTCCCCTCTCCCTTCTTGTATATTGCCCCCCTCCCCAGCACCCAAACTATCCTGTGTCTATTCCCTGCCTTGTGTTCCACCTTCCCCTCCCTCCCCTCACCCTACCCCCCACATCTCAGTAAACAGCAAAAAATCCTCCCCACTTTAATATGGGTTCTTTTTCTTAGTCTTTTACAGTAGTGGTCCTATGCAGTATTTCTCCTTTTGTGACTGACTAATTTCACACAATATAATGTCCTCAAGGTTCATCCATGTTATGTGGTGGTTTGTAGCTTCCTTGTTATTCATCAAGTTAGCATAATATTTCATTATGTGTACGTCCCAGCATTTGTTTATCCATTCTTCAGTTGATGGGCACTTTGGCTGTCTCCATATTTTTGCTATTGTAAACAGTGCTGCTATGAACATTAATGTGCATATATCTACTCCTGTTATCAGCCAGGTGGCATCATTTATGGACTCAAGTGTGGCAGCAGTAGTGAGGTTGGCCCAGAACCAGACATTATTTCGTTCTGCTGTGCATGGGGTCACTATGAATCGGTTCTGACTTGATGGCACCTGACAACAACAACACTAAAAAATTAATCAAAAAGGAAAATTTGACCTCAAGAGATTTTGATCTGAAGCAATAAATATATAGGGTTCCCAGTGTGACATGGTAGGATAAGCACTGGACTGCTTATACAGGTTGTTATGAGTTAGAATTGACTAGACAGTAATTACCAAAAATAATAATGAATATATAAATGGCATGTCATGACATTCTTTCTGGGAGCAATAAATTTTATTTGTTAAATTCTATTTGTTTTCTAGCTATCCTTTGTGAATCTATCTTCTTGGATCCATAACCGATGGACCATAGAAGACACCAACAGCTCCCTTTCAGTCAAATCTAAAATACTTTATGTGGAAAACCTAGGAAACTAATAATGGGTATATGTTCTTGCTATCATATGTCTATTATTTTATTGGTTGTCAAATATTATAAATTGTATGTCAATGAACTCTGTATTTTGGTGTTGTTTTCCTAGAATACTGTTATGCTTTATAAGAAAGAATCAGCTTGTTCTTTTCAGATGTTTTATTCCAAAGATGCTGATGCTATGGATTGTGTCCACCAAAGTATGTATTATATATCTTATACCTGTGGATGGAATCCCATTTGGAAATAGAGTTTTCTTTGTTATGTTAACAAGTCCATATCAAAGTAGGGACAAAAGTATTTTAAGCCCATCACACTTGAGATATAAAAGCAGCATATTAGGCAAGGAAGCTCAAAGGAAGGAAGAATAGATGCCACATGGAACCATCCAACGAACACAAAGAATATTGGAGAATTTTCTCCAGAGCAAAGACAACCTTCCCCTAGATATAGTGCCATTAATTCAGATCCCTAGTCTCCTTTATTGTGAGAAAATGTATGTTTGTTAATACCACCCACCTGTGGTATTTCCGTTACAATAGCACTAAGAACCAAGACAGTGGGCAAAGATCAAAAAGCAGCTTTACCCTCTGAGAGCTCTACCTGAGGCTAGGCATTCAATAAGAATTCTATGTTCTGTTGGAATCCTACTGTTTTCCTGCCCTGTGACTTCTGGGAATTGTTCAACTTGCAGCTCACTGGTGATTCTTTTCATGGCCTCATGCAGTTTAACTGTAACATGCCTGATCTAAGATTCAGTGAAAAACTCAAGAACTATTGTAGATATGAGATTTAGTCTGTGAATGGCTTCCTATTCAAGAACACTCTGTCAGACACAGTTTAGCTATCATAGCTTCCCCAAAGTCCAAAATGTGTATTCTAGGTTCAAAAGGCTTATTGCTTTTGTTTGTTTGTTTGTTTGTTTATTTGGAGTTTCCTTAAGTCCAGAAGGTACCTGAAGTTCAGAAAATATCTCAGTCCAGATAGCCAAGTACATCATGAGACACTCTTTCATTGTTATCTACCTATTTGTATAATGTCTGAATTTTATTTTTTTCTCTTACATTTTTCCAAAAAATATTCTAGTTGTATGTGGGATTAAGTCGGATCTTAAAAGAAACAAAAGTGATACAGTTCTCATTGAATCAATTCTGACTCATGGCAAACCCATGTGTGTCAGAGTCCACCTGTGCTCCATAAAGTTTTCAGAGGCTTATTTTCCAGAATTAGGTCACAAGACATTCTAATGAAATGTCACCAGGTGTATTTTAACTTCCCATCTATTTTTCAATAGCCCAGAACTTAACCGTTTACACAGCCCAGTGATTTCTAGAGTTAATTCTGATACTAGGACATAAACTGTGAACAATATTAAAAAGAATGGGTATTCCAGAACACTTCATTGTGCTCAGGAAGAGCCAGTTGCTCGAACAAAAAAAGGAAATACTGAATAGTTTCAAATTAGCAACGGTGTGCACCAGAGTTATATTTTTCCACCACACTTATTCAAACTATGTGCTGAGCACGTAATCCAAGGATCTGGATTATATAAAGAAAAATGTGGCATCGAGATTGGAGGAAGGCTGATTAACAACCTGTTATATGCAGATGATACAACCTTGTAGCTGGAAGTGAAGAGAACTTAAATACGTACTGATAAAGCTAAAAGACTACAGCCTTCAGTATGGGCTCTATCTCAATGTGAAAAACCAACAAAATTCTTCATAACGTGACCTATAAATAACATTAAAATAAATGGATAAAAGATTTGAAGCTATCAAAGATATCGTTTTTTACTCTAATCACCCATCAACACTCAAAAGAGGCAGCAGTCAAGAAATCAGAC